GAGAGAGAGAGAGAGGCAGGATGACGCGTATAATGCACATTGTAATGAGACATGAATCGATAACGTTTGGCGGCCGCTGAACACGAAACCATGTACGAGCGATATACTCGCGAACGGTCATCTAGGACATCGAAATGGGACACGCGAGGTACCTCTCTCTATCTCTCTCTCTCTCTCTCTCTCTCTCTCTCTCTCTCTCTCTCTCTCTCTCTCTGGAGAGGCGAAATGCGAAATCCCAAGATCCCCGGGAGTCGAAATCCGGACTCAATTTCCATTTCGATATTCCATTTTTCGATTCCGCCTCGACCCCAAATATCCAAATTTAATGCCAATTCAAAATACCTCAAATACCCATTTTGATCGCATTCGACGTAAGCTCCGCTGAAAAGTCCCCTCAAGAACCTACAGGTAATAATAATCTCCGTAGATTCTCCGTAGAATCGACAGGCGTAGACGGTTGCAGATGGAAAATAAGGTCGAAACGCCGCGCCGGCTCGGCTTTCGGGCGCATGGCCGGCGGATGAAACATGACAACTGCAACGTGTTGCGAGAGAATGCACCGGGGATAAGACGGCGTGCGCGCGCGCGCGCGCGCGCGAACAAACGGGGTTACGTAAATATTATCGTGTCCGCGTTTAACTGTCGCGCGAGTGTTTATCCACGTTTATCTCCGCGTTCGACGCTATCGCGAATCGCGAGAGATCGAGCGCTGGAGGCAGGCGGCAGGCGGTGCTCTTCCGCTCGGCTGGCGATTTTCGGCAACCCGTCACCCTCGCGAAAACGCGAAGAGCGAGAGCCCGCCGGGAGCTCTAGACGTCCGCGGACGGGAAAAATATTAGCGGCCGGTAAATCAACGTCGAACGGGGCCGCGCGCGCATTCTCGCTTGTAGCGGCGATTATTGGCCCAGCTGAAGGCCGCTTGGCGCGATATTTCATCGGTACGTACGACGAGCACTTATATATCGCCCGGCGATTATCTCCGCCGGCCCGTATCTTTTCGCCGAATCGGGGAGGATCACCGCGGCCGCGAGCTGCGATAAATCCAATTAGCCCGAGTCCGCGCGGTCCCGCCGACATTTTCGATCAGCGACGCGCAGGAATTGTCGCAATTAACGTATGTACTCGCGTCGGATAAACGTCCGAAAAGCACTCACGTCTGTTTGCTGTAAATTTCACGGTTCGAAAGTGTCCAAATAACGTACCGTGCCACACCGCTATTAGTATCTCCCGGATTTGCGCGCACGCGCGCGTGTCCATATGACGACAAACGAGTGTGTGTTTGTTCCAGCCTGATCCAAACTTGGATCTCAGGCTGTACGACGTTGCTTCTTCTCGTTTTTGGCGAATTTCGGCGATCGAGCGCGCGCGCGCGCCCCGAAACGGCGTTGGAACAATTACGTCGACGAGGAGAGCGACGCATAGCAGCTCCGCGGAATTCCTCGCGCTCGGCATAGTTGGCGCGTTATAGCGCGCGCCGTTGAAGCGGGTCCGTGCAGGTGCAACGGGCGCCTTCGCTCTCTGGTTCTCGGCGCGGCCGTATCGCCGGGACGGTATCTCGTGCGCCAGAACGACTCCGGTATTTCTGGAATTATGCTAATCGGCCGCGCAGCAACGATGGCTTATCGGCGGCTGATACGGCGCGCCGCAATTTGTACGTTCGTAACTGCGGGGGTACAATTTGTGCCGCTCCCGGTGCACGCGGCTGGTACCCGCCGCGGATCGATAATCCCGTCCCCGCCGTCCCTGCTCGTCGAGCCGTTAATCGAGCCGAGATCGATCCGCGCGCCGAACCTCCGCTAATTTATTTACCAGCCACGCGTCTGCAAGATCGCCGTATCGCGCCAATCGCCGCCACGATCAAGAGGGAACACATGACTCTCCTCCGAAAATCGGGCACGACGTGCGAGTCAGGTAACGCGCCGTATTAAGTCTTTTAGTATCCTGGGATCGATATATCGTCGCATGCACGTTTACCCGAGAGATATCTTAAGTCGATATATCAGTTTTTTATTCTCAATACAATCTTGACACGTGTAATAAGATCTTATTTTTATAAAACGAATTTTTACAGTATAACATACATGTTTCTGCTGAACACACAGGCTCATTTGTGTAAAGAGATTTTATTTTAGGTTTTGTATTCGTATTGTTTTCTTAAAAAATGCATATTCTTTTATTTATATCGTGAAATATAATTGTTTTCATTCACTCAAAAATATGAAAATATTTATAGAAACAAGGAAACATTTCTAAAAGAAATAAATTCTTTGTTTTCACCGTACCGTTGATTACAAACAACTTTAATTAATGAAAAGTAATTATTTTCTTTTCCTTACTGTAAAAATGTATACATTTTATAACTAAATGAAAAAAAGCGTAAAAAGCATATCTTCATTTTTAAGAAAAATATGTTCATTTTAGTAAATATGTGTGTGTGTGTGTGTGTGTGTGTCTTCTAAAAAGCACGTTCTTCAATCGGATCTGGGCCGTCTATAGAAAACTTGGAAGATAACAAGAGGATTAAGATCCGTCCGCAACGGCAGTAAGACATAAGCAATAAGGAATTAAACAACCACAGTGGCGATTATTCTTATAACCATTATTCTTGTAACAACCGACTGTGGTTGGTTGACTTTTTTACTGCTTACGTCTTACTGCATATTCTTATTCTCATTGTGTGCGACATTTTATGCATATATATATATATATATATATGCTGCATAATTTATTATTCTGATATCTCCCGCTCGCGTCTCTCGCGCAACTCTGGGCGCGCGCGTGTCCGCTTTCAGTTCAGCATCTCGGACATTGTGCAACTACTTTGTTCTAAGCGAGCTCTCCGATCCCACAGGGTGAGGTAAATTATACCATTACTCGCGCTACTATTGTGAGCCGTTGCTAACTAGTGGCGTTACTATTACTTCGTCTAACAGTGCTTCACGTCGCACTGCTGCTTGCGGATAACTGGCCCTCGATAGTTGGCAGTCGAAGTTTCAATGACGCTGCGCGCCCGCGCGCCGTGCTTAAATGAATTATAGAACCGTATACGGTCGAGCCCGGGGGCCGATCGACTGCGCAACCTGTCGTTGCGCCACGCGCGACGAATACCTGCGCGGCAGGTACGAACGGCTGCAGACCGCTCGGGATAATGTTGGATAATGAGCGCTCGCACGAGAGCAGATCGAATCGAAACCGCCGTAACCCAATTTTCTACCATGGACCGGCCGCCACCTCTCTCGTTCCTGCTCGCTCCTCTCGCCTCTCTCTCTCTCTCTCTCTCTCTCTCTCTCTCTCTCTCTCTCTCTCTCTCTCTCACTTTACCCGTCCATCCATCCATCCATCCATCTTTCTCTCTCAGTATCTCTCTACCTCGCGAATTGACGCAATTAAACGGGGGCGCATCGGCCGAATCCCGCGAAGAATTTCATTTCCGGCTTCCAATTAGCATTCACACAACGGGAAAATTGTATTTGCACCTGTCGAAAAAGACAGGCACCTGATGGGACCGGGAGCGCGCGTAATTAGGGACGATTCAGCACTCGTGGTGTTCTTCCTCTCTCTCCCTTTTGGCGTGAAATGAAGCGCCGCTCTAGTTGGCAGAGAGAGAGAGAGAGAGAGAGAGAGAGAGAGAGAGAGAGAGAGAGAGAGAAGCACGCAACGTCCGTACGAGCTTACAGATAACACGTACGCGCGAGTGGTGCGTTTAACGGCGCAAAAAACTCAGCGATAAATTCGCGACGACGACGCTTTTTTCGAGCGACCTTCGACTCGGGCGCGCACGGGGCTGTGTCGCGAGCGGAAGCATTCCTGGAACAATAACGTAATGAGACTTCCGCGCTAATGACGCGACATCGCCGCCGCCGCCGCCGCCGCCATCGGGCCAGAGTCCACGAAGAGAGCGTTACCGCTTATGACGTCCTTGTGAACGCTGACGAGCTTTCGAGAGTGCGTTGTAAATGAGACGTCCGAAGAGAGATAGAGAGAGGAGGGCAGGGAGGAGGACGATGAAAATCCACCGATTGAGACGTAGCGCGCGAGCGGCTTCGACGGGCCGAGACCTTCGTCGTATTACTCGCGTCTCATTGTGTTTTAATCGTCATCTTGACGATCGTTAGCCACGCGACATGCCGGAATATGCGCGATAAGTGTTATCGCCGCGAACGCGTGTTAAATGATTGAATTAGCCCGTAATAGAGCGCGTGAATGAAAAACGCACGATGTTACGATGTAGCATATGTGAAATACTTTGATAAATCGCATGGCTGTACCGTTGCACGTGGAAAGAAAGAGAGAGAGAGAGAGAGAGGGAGAGAGGGAGAGAAGAAGGGAGAGGAAAAGAAAGAAAGAGTGCGAGGCCCAGCGGCCCGACTCGCGCGTCCTTCAAAACAATAACAACGCGTGTACGGAGCACTTATATATATACACACACACATTACCCGCTGAAGGTTATTACAGTTTTCGACGCCGAGAGATGAGCAGGTCTCGGCCCGCGTCGCGTCTCGTTTCGCAACTTTTCGCAAGTTGATGGAGAGGTGATCGTCGGCTAAATTACCGGGCATCTCCGCGTGTGCGTGTGTGCGTGCGTGTGCGATCATGTGCTGGGCTTGTGTGAACAGTGGCAGAGTACTATAGGACTGACGGCGATTAACGATCTATTTCTTCCGATTGAAACAGGTATTTGAAAAAGAATATATGTAACACGAAGGAAGAAGTGCTTATTTAATTTTGTTTTACTTACCGCGTCAATTGAAAATAAATACCTATTAAATTCGGTATTGTCAATGTGGTAACATCTTTTAATAAGATGAAAAATTTACATAGGGTGAAATTTCACCCTTGATAGCCTTCAAGGGGTAAACGCGAGAAAGAGGGACAGAGATTCACGATGAACTCTGTATCACAGATGCCTCCGTGTTTTTCGGACATTAAAACCTAACCTTACAGCGTAAGCAACCGTTCGATCGTCGCAAGTAATCGGTAAAACTACCTTTTTGTTTCAGATCCGGTTTGATGAGTGCGTCGCGAGGACAGTTCCGGACAGTCGCGGATGGACCACCGAATGCGGCACCGGAGGCTCCGGTTCGGGCCGAGCAGGATCGGCTCGAAGGTGAGTTTACAGATAGCCGATATTCCTTCGTTTTTTTTTGCTCTTTGCGGTCGAGGTACATTTCCGTTCGAATTGCTCGGAGCAAGATCGCAAAGGGTTAATTAATTCACTCCTTACGCGCGCTTGTTCGCAAAGTCGAGCCGTTAAATGTAATTGACGAAACGATATATTGATGTTGCAGATCCGCAGCGGAACGTGGCCGATCCTGAGCTCCGAGCAGTTTCGGTGAGTGAGAGAAACACAAAGATCTCGCGGTGGTGGGTTCTTAACAATGGTTGTTTTTAAAATCTCGCGACTGATCAATGCGACTCGCGTGTTGGCGCTTTCTGCGTTAGCCCTTTATATACCGGGATTAATTTGCCTAAAATATTAAATTTTCGTGAACAATGAGATAGCTTTTGGCACATTACAAACATAAGGAATAGGAAAGTAAACTATCCAGTTTCAATTCAATGTTTAAATTTGAAGATGGTGCTTGCAATTACCGTCGGAATACAAAAGGTTAATGTGCCGTCGAATAAAATGACGTCATTCGAAGCGATTAAGGGAATTGCTTTCGCCGCATGAGGAACATTTGCGAGCAACCGAATGCTCCATTTCGATCGACAGGCGACGTCAATTTTTCATGAACGTGTTTGCGCAGACACTCGCTGGCTCAACTGTTTGTTCAGCCTCTTTGTTTCTCTTGAATCGCGAACGGGAGAATTATTCACTCACCGCGATTCCCTAATTGTGCCGAGCGTTACATGGAGCGATCATCAGAATTGCGTCACCGCGGACGGAATTTGCGATCATCCTGCTCGTGCCAAAAGATTAATGACACGCAACCGCGGTCGGCCGTTGATCCATACGCGTGTTCCATACGGAGAAACGTTAACCTTCGTCTCTTCGTTATTCCGCCCAAAGATCCGCGCTGTTTACTGTAACAATGTTTTTATGCGCTATGGCTGTATTGATTGACATCGCGACGCGATCGCGAGTACCTGATTCTGGGGAGACGGATTTTTTCGGCAAACAACATAAATCGGAATATCGCGTTTCGTATTTTCGACTTGCTCAAAGATACCGCGGCTTCATCTATTTTTACACCCGCGAATGTGTCCCTGACTTTGCGCACACATACTCCCGCATTTATCGTCTCAGATATCCGGTAAACGAATTCGCAGAAGTTTACTTACGATCTCCGTTAATAAGATCCGCATAGCTCGCCCGAGGTAATAATAAAAAAAAAATGTTCATTCATAAACGGGGAAATTCGGCCGAAACGCCATTACGATGTCGAAATGAAGAGCAAAGGTCAGATATCCCTCTATAGGACACGTACGCGTCACGCTCTTCTCGCGAGCGTTCTCGCTCGTTATTAATAATCACCGCAAATGTCACAGAGTCGCAGTACGCACGCAAACCTCGGAACACAAAGTGTTTTCCGTTTTCGGCTATTATCAAACATCGGTCAGCCGCGATACAGAGCTGCACAAGAGAGTGTCCAGGCGCATCGGAAACGACGTGTCGTGAAATTTAATCGCGGCGCGCGATTCTCTGTTCACACGCGGGACAACAAAACGCTGATTTCGCTCGATCGATCGGCCCCGACTCGCGCGACCAGGCGATCGATACACCGCGGTTAATTATCATCATCGCACGTTAACGATAACAAGTGTCATTATTATCCCCCCCCCCCCATTCACACCTCTATTCCCACCTCGCTTACTATTGCTTTTATTATTATCGTCTTTATTATTATTATTATTGCTATTATTATCATTACTGTCACTATCGAGGCTGCTAATGGGAGAAAGAGATGATCGTATATCACACATGGGCGAAACTCACGACGGGAGCACCTTTCACCCGCGGGTCGACCAGTCGTCGACCATGGCGTCGGTTTACGTCACTCGATATTCCGTGGCGCGCGTATCGCATGTACGGCTAATTCCACGCGAACATAGGCGCGTGCCACTCGCTTTATCCTCGCCTCTCATCTCGTTTCTTTCTCCTCACCCCGACCATTCTCTGTGTTTTCGCACGTCCCGCGCGGCGCGTCGTCAGGCCGCCGTTTGCCTGTCACTCGGAATTTTTAAGAGGCGAGCAGCTTCCGCCGCAGAGTTCGTCTCACCGCTGATCGCATATTCTCACAAGGCGACGAAATACTTGGCCGCCACGTAATCACATTTCGTAGGTGGCGTTGCGCTCTTCCGCCGTAACGTCGAAGCGGAACACGCTGCCGTGTGAACGCATCGAAGAGAGAGAGAGAGAGAGAGACGGGGGGGAAGAAGAAAACTTCGACCTCTGCATTTCCTTGTTATCGAGTCGGCTCAGTACGGCTCGCCGCGAGAATGCTCGACACCGCGCGCAATTCGACGTGCAATTCGCCACGCTCGCGACGACGTGGTTTACATGCGCGGCGGAACACTAGGCGAGAGCATGACGGACATTCCTCCTAACGTAAGTACTCCATCGCGGCCCTGAGGTCCTTCTTGAAGAAACGTGGGTGAAGCGCGCATAGCGGCGGAGTGCCGCGAATAGGAAGAGACAAGGGGGACGAGGGCCGGCTGAAGGCAGAGGTGAAGACTTGGCTCGCGAAAGTGCAACGCCACCGCTGCGTCGCGATAAGTCATTCGATTCGTATTCATCGGCCGTCGTCGCACGCGTTTTACTGTTATTCAAGGCAGCAGGAGCCGTGACGCGCACGGATCGCGTCAATTCGATATCCCTGCGAGCACGCGTACATCCTACTATCTCGATAGGATGTCTCGAGAAATGTGCAGGCCGCAGGTCGGAAATCATCTCGGCATCTCCCCCCCCCTCTCTCTCTCTCTCTCTCTCTCTCTTTCTCCGTTATGTCGACGCGTGTTCGTGTTCCGCGGCCAACTTTCCGATCGCGTGCGCTTCTTCTCGGCGAGGCTCGGCGTGACGCGCGTGTGTGGTCGGCCCGAGGATCCTTGATCCTTAAGTAGAAATGTCAGTCCGCTGGAGTGCGCGGTTAGTCATCGCGATAATCCTGCGAATGTGCACGGCGTGACGCTCGCGCGTCAGAGCGAGAACGTCGTGTGTCGGGGTCGAACGGTCTCCGACGATGCTTCCCGCGGCGGAGAGCAAAGGCTGACTCTTGCTCGATACGCGTCTCAATTACGCGCGATTCCGCGCAATTGATACGGAGGGAAGGCAGGAGAGGCGGCTGTAATCGCGTAATGAACAGCAGCGCAGCGTCGCGGGAGCGCCGTTCGTCGTTTAAACAAACGCTCTCTGGCGCGTCACTTGTTGATAGTGACGTTTGAGAGTGAGCATCGTTTGCGTAATCAACGGATATTAGAGAGGTGGCGCGGAGTTTCGCGGTGGTGGAACTTGATCGCGCGAGGAGCGCGCGCCATAACTCGTGATTAGACGGTTAATTACACTCGAAGGACGCATTACGCTTTACAGCGTACGCCGTCGGCGATGACGTTAAGGAGACGGGCGGGGCTACGGGGGTGGTTGACGACGGCAACGACGACGACGACGACGACGACGGGGGGATGTTGCCGCTTGGAACTTCCGGCCGATTAATCACGCTTCGGCCATTGTCTCCCGGCGAAATTCGTTAAGCGACGATACACGAACCGTGCGACTCCGCCGCGATACACGCCGCCGTATACATCCCGAAATCCGTATCGACGCGCCGCGCGAAACGCGGCCGCCTTCGGTAATCGCGTTAATGATTCCCGCCAGCGCGGGGAACATTAATTGTCCTTCGGGGAACAATTGGGAGCGCGGCCAAGCTGACCGGCGCGCAGCAGGGCGGATGAACAAAAAGGGAAACGAATGACCGGCAAATTCGAATAAGAAAGAGAGAGAGAGAGAGAGAGCAAGCGGGGAGACGAGAACGCTCGTTCTATACGAGTCGTTTAATTGCGTATTCGCGAGGCGGAAACGTATCGCGCGCGCCACAATGAGGCCGCCGCGATCCAATGCGATCGAACTCTCGCGTAAAATCGTCGGAACGCTTGGAATTGCGCGGTGCCGCGCGATGCCGAGGAACCCGGAAGAGGAAACGAAAACGCGAACGCAATCGAGAACATAATTTACACTCTTTCTCCCTTCCTCTTCCTCTTTCTCTTTGTCTCTTTCCCCTTCTTCGATACGACGCTAGTCTCATTTCGTGATGCTTTTACCCTCAATCTCCATTCATAGGGAGAGAGAGAGAGAGAGGGAGAGAGAGAGCGAGAGCGAGAGCGAGAGCGAGAGAAAGCGTGGAGCGAGAGAGATTGCACGTGAGATATTAAAAGTATATCGGCAATTTCAACGGGCGGGCGGCGATATTAAAAGACGCGTTTAAGAGAGCGTAATTTCCATGATTACGCGCTTTTATACCGGACCCGCGTCTCTCGCCGTGGCGCTTTTACACGAGTCAAATTCCGCTGCGAACGAATCGTATCTCCGCGAGTGGAGAGAGTGGAAATTGATAAACTTTCAGCAGGCAGCCCAGCGCGCACACCCGCTCTCTGGTCCCTCCCTGGTGTCGGCTCGCGCGTTTTCGCTGCAGCCCACGCATTATCGGGCGATGAAACCCGCCGGCGTAAACTCGTTTGCAGCGTATCCCGATATTACGTGTTACGGTATCGTGCGGCTATCTCCTAAAACACATCGAAACATTGGGCGCGGCGACGGCGACGGCGGCGGCGGCGGCGGGAGACTACTCCACTCGGAGCGCGCCGCCGCATAATTGCGAATTATAATTACGCGGATCACTCCGGGCGCAATCGCGCGCTCTTGTGTAACGCGAGCGGCACGCGGGGCGTCGGGAGCGTAATTATTTGTCGGCGTGTGCGTCGGCGCGTGTTTCGCCGTGTGCGGCGCGAGAGCGCCGCCGCGCCGGGAGCAACGAGCGCGAGAGAGCGGTCGATGCTCGCGCGGTTTATTTGCTAATTACACGCGTCGCACTTTCGTCATTTGTCACACAGGCGACTGATGATTGAATTATTTTCGTCATGCGTAGGCGCCCAACCGTGCTCGCACGCGCACGCGCACACGCGCTCGCGGAAACGCTCGCTCCTTTCTCGACGACGACGACGACGACGCGTCAGGAACAACGCGTCGCGGTCACGATTGCGAGCCGTTGGCGGCGATCCGTTATGTAACGGGAGACGGAGTGACAACGGGTTACCTGTTCCTTTTCGCTGAACACTAGCGTGCGCTTTTGAAACTTCGGGAGAAACAGTCGAAGGTGAGAAAAGGAGAGAACTGGGAGGGGAGACAAAGTAGGGCTCGCGGTATAGACTTGATATTTGGGGCACTGCTCATGTCGATAACTGCTTTCGATTGGAGGAGGAGGAGGAGGAGGGAGGGGTTCGCGCATTTTCGTAAAGAGAAACTAAATCTCGGAAGATTCGTTCGAGGAAGTTGAACGACACTGCCAATATGATGCGATTTTCATTCCCTCCGCGCATCCCTTTATACACACGTTCCGTTTATCCGTATGTAAAGTGAACAAAACTTGCACTCTTGACGACAAATTAATGTTTCCCATTCGGATGGTCAAAAATATAGTCCGAGTCTCTGAGACGGAGCAGAAACCTCGTAGCGGAATTTCTCCTGGCAATTTCTGTAGCAACGAAATTTTTCGTCGATTCCTGAGAAAGGTTCCGGAAAGGTTCCGCTTGTCGTAACTGAAATTCACTTCTATCAGCCGAATATTTTTCTGCGTGACGCGAAATGTCGCGAAAAATACGACGAGCCGAGAGCGCAAGGGAGGCTCTGATCGATTCGTCGCTCCGTTCAATCAGCATCCGATTCCGTCGAGAAGAAGAAACTGTCTTCATCTTCGCGACGGGACCATCTTCTACCCCCGCTTCCCCTCGTCCCCCCGCCGTGACGAATAGGAATCACCGCGTAATTTCGCGTAATGCCAAATATCCGATTGATCCGAGCGAGCTTACATTTTTCGAGAGTCGAGAGTCAACATTAGCAAAGTGCTGCCGGTTGTGAATGACGTGTATTATCGAACGCGTAATGGCATTTCGTGCGCACACGTTTGCGTAAAATGGCGCGCGGGTGTGGGCAACATTCAGCCCGAGCGGATTTGCGCGCGCGTACCGCGCAACGACGTTATTAATTTTTATCCCAACTTTGTGTGTGTGTGTGTGTGTGTGTGTGTGTGTGTATGCGTGCAGTCCGTTGCAGCCCACGCGACGGTGGGAAAATTGTTGTCGATGCGCACATAAGCTCGACGGGAAGGAGAGTCGGGGATGGCAGCGCGTCGATTTCACGCGGGTATGATGGCGGATTTTCCCGCCGTGAATATTATAGGAGTCGCGAAAATTCGGCTCGGCTCCGCGCGCGAGGCTCCCGCGAACGAATGACTCGCAGCGGAGAGAGAGTCTCGGTTAGGGATGGGCGGCTTCGTCAAAGAAAAAGCATCGTCTTCGATTTAATCGATTATCAAAAAAATCGTTTTTGCGTAATCGACCATTTCTTAAAAATATCGATAATAATCGATGTTTTCCTAGTTTATTTTAAATTAATGTGAAGAGTTAAATGTTGCAACATATAAATACAACATAGATAAATTAAATATGTTATTAAAACCTTAAAGACCCTTTTACAACGACTGCAAGCCACAAGCTTGTACAAGAATAAGGCTATAAGCGTAAGCTACAAGAAACAAACCAATTAAAGTCGGTTGTTCTTATGATAGTCGACTGTTGTAGGTTTATTTTTTACTGTTTACTGTTACAGCTTCATTTTTGCAGACGGGCCTTGATAGTAGCAACAACAGATTCCCTGGTGATAAAAATTTAGTAACAAATCTAATAATGTAATCGACGAAAAGAATAATCGATCTAGGGAATAATCGGCCCCAAAAATATCGGTCTGATAATCGATTTTTCAAGAAGGTAAGAGTCGATGCTTGTGTTTCGTCGATCGATATTCTTTGCCGATCCACTCAGTCTCGGTAGTCGGCGAAAAATCGACGCGTCCCCTCGTCCTCTTTTTCGCTCCTCGTGTTTCGCTTTTCAATCTCCTTGTCCTCCCGGCGCGTGCACGACTCATCGACGCGCGATTAAACGCCGGGGCCAAATCGCTCCGGGAATTGGAACAATCAGCTGCGAGCCGGAAGTCTCCTCAGTTCGTCGTCGTCGGCGGCGGCGGCGGCGGCGGCGGCACGTGATGACCGGCACTTGCGATAGCGCGGGAGGCGGCCTTATCGATTCGCGAAGTGCGAGTAACGTCTGGCTACACGAACGACTCTTCGCGCTCGAACTTGCTTCCTCGTACGGTTAGGCAAAAAGGTCAGGAGGACTCGCATGCACGTCAGGATACATGTATTCCTCGGCGCTCTTCCTTCGTCCTTTGCTCGACGGGTCACGCGATTTCGTCATCTTTTGGCAAACACTACCGGCGGCAGCCGCTGTCGCTTTTGTTATTCTTGTCACTTTTTATTCCTCGGATGATTCGGTCGCCTGATCTGTGAGATGCCCGAAACCGTTTCGCGACGAACGTCGCCTGCCGCACAAAGGTCTGCCGGAATATTCCCGGATTCAGACTCGCAGATTCCTCCTCGATTAGAATTGCCAAACCTGCGACCCGAGACACGCGTGTTCCGCGCAGCTTGCGAACCCGCTTCATCGCTTGAAACTCTGTCGCGCGTGATGAGCTCCGCTGTTGCTTCGTGCAAAAATGCAGAGACATATTTCGCTGATGTGACGTTTGAATTTCTTGTTTCATTCACATTAACTCTCGAACGTAGAAATCGAATCCCGAGAAATTTCTTATGCGGACTCGGTGTCGCTCGGGGAGGGGGGGGGGGAGAGGACGATCCGTCCCGCGCTCTTACAGAAATCGGGAACGTCCCGGGTGAGAAATCGCGCGTCGCGCCCGTTGCTCGTGTTTGACGCGCAACGGGCGCGAGCGAGAATCGATAACTCGGCGATAACGTTTGCGTTGCGTCGGACGTTGATCAATGGTATGTCGCGGATGTGTTACAACTGTGAAAGGACCACTCGATTAAGAGAGGTCGTCGCGGCGAGGCGACTATTGCAGGGAGAAAATACTCCGTGTCGCGGCTGCGAAAACGCTCCAGAAGCGTTGAGTCATCGTGAAAAGCCGCGCCGCGCTCGATCGAGGGTTGAACGTCGCGCATAATTAATTATGATACACGCGATTATGATATGCTCGGCGGCGTTGCGCAAAGGCGCGCGCGTCCCCTCTGCGTTTCTCTTTGCGGCGAGATTTATACGGCCGTCTGAATTAGCGGGAATCGGGAATGCGCGGCAGGTGCAATTCGCAGCGAGGCGGAATTCTGAGATGCGCGCGTTCTCGGCTATTCGCGACGGAATATTTCGCGAGAGGCGCGTCGCTTTTACCTCGCGACGCGCGCGCGCGAACGCATCAAAAGGGTCGATTCTTTCAAGCCAATAAATCCTTGTCGCGGATGAAAGCGTCTTTCTCCCGCTCGGCGGAGTGTTTGCACGGTGAGAAGACGCCGCTGCATGTGCCGGTGCATGCGGGAGATTTCTCTCGCGAGGAAGAGTGAGAGAGAGGGAGAGAGAGAGAGAGAGGGAGACACAAAGCGGAATGAGACGCGGGGAAGAAGAATGACACGCGCGCGCGCATCTCTGACGGAACGGGATGCGGGTTCGTTTTTGGTAATACGAGCGTTGTCGTAATGCGACTCGCCGGAACCGACGCCGGAGACGGTTCTCTAACGTCGCGTTTCCCAGAGCACACATTTGTTTCAATGTCCTCTCGATAAACCGCGCGCACCGCGCGCCTGTCGTCTCGTCGAGGAGGCCGACCGCCGCGATCGATGAGGGAAAGCGAAGGATCAAAATTGCGCTGAGAACACCAAGTGTTGTTCAATCACTGCTGGTAGCTTGTGACTGAGATAAGAGCCGCGCGCTCTGAGATATCGCTGGTGTAGGATAATTTGCGGGAGGATAATAACGTCGCGGGACAAGACACGTCCCTTGTTCTACAAAGTGCTTAGGGAATTTACAGACATTCTCTTGTCTGTGTCTCCGTTACATATCGTTAGAAATATACATAATAACATTATTATAATTATATATTACATAGATTGACGTTCCAATTCGGGGAGAGATGAGTAAGTTAAAAATATATAAGTTGAAGGAGATAGATCTCGCGCGAATTTCTAATTTGTCAGGACGGAGACCGACATTGTTGTCGTCCTCTCGCGAGTCGTTGTTCACCGGCGATAATCTTCAGACGCAGTTGTGTCATCGGCCAAAAGTTAACTTACAACGATATTGTTGAATGTCTAAGGAAGTCGAGTGCACTTTCGTTTGCAGTGAAACTCGTCGTAGAGATCATTTCTTTCGCGGGCGCGATATCAGCGCCGATTGGACGACGATAACCAGATTTTCGCTATTACTATATATCTACTTTGTTCGCAAAGTTATGTTTAATTGCGTCAGAGTGGCACGAATAGCGTTGCGGTTAGAAATTCAACCACCTCCGCCGCCGCCGCCGCCGCTCGTACAAAGAGGAGATTACAATCCAATCCTAATACAAAGCGCGTTATACCGAAATTCAGATTGCGCGATTATATTCGCCGCGTATCGCTCGCTCGCTCGCTCTTGCTTCGCAGTCTCGCCGAAATAGTCCTCCTGCGCTCATCGGCGGAAACGCCGAGTTTTACGGAAACTGTACTCGCGCCAATTGCGTCGTTGTCATTCGATCGCCGAGCAGCGCCGGGCGCGCTTGGAGCGAAAAATTCCAAGCCCCATACGGGAAGAGACACAAGACGCATAAAACCGCGTAAGGCCGCGCCGCGTCGTTGGATTGATTGTTGGATCCGCGGGCGCTTTCGCGGTCCCCCCCGCCCCCCGTCTCGTGCGCGCTCTCGTGTGTCGGCCGTTGTATCGTTTTACGCGAGGATATTTCTTCAAAGTACATACAATTAGACCATAACGAACTGCTACCGATATACATTTTCACAGCCTTGCGCACGCGATAGCAATTTCTTACTGCGCGCGGCGAGCCGCGCCGCACTGCGCCGAGGCATTTCACTGATTTCATGCGTGTTTCGTGCGGTGGCACGCCGCACCGGCCGACCGTGAAAAGCGCGCATCACGCGGCCGATGTAGCGACGCCGCGGGGCCTCCTCCGCTGCGAGGCAGCGGACGTTATCGCGAGCCCGATGCGGATAACGGCGCGATAACGGCGGAAAATGAGAATTCCAACGGCCTTAACGGCCGATCCTGACGAGTCGTCCGCTCTCATGGACATCGACATGCGCTGCAATCCCAAGAACGCGCGCGCTGCTGCTTTATTGCAAATGTTGCCAACGATTCCGTCGACCTTGCGTTCTCGCCAGACTACCGAAGAAAGTTGCATCTCTCGATTGCAACGCGCATTCCGCGACTTGCTCTATATACAGATCAGAATTATGCAGTTGCTGTTACGCGCGTGCCCTTCCCTCTCCCCTTCCCTCCTGCCCGGATGGAAACGTGATTAAAGCGAAAGCAGAAAAACGCGCGCGATTGCCTCGCGCGCGAGTCTCCTCACGACGAGGAGAGCTCGTTGTGCGCGCATCGTGAAGATTCATTTTTCAGCGAGAGATGAAGCGACTCGCCTTCGTCAACCCTTTATACTTGGGATTAACTTATCCAAGACCTCGTTAAATTTTTCCATGACTAAATAACTCTCGACATATTACAGACGTGAGAAATAGGAAAATAAATTTTGCAACAATTTAATGATTAAATCTCAAGATGATACTTAAAGATTCCAAGACATATGAGCGTTTATATATAGAGCGGCACTTTCAAATACCAAATCAGGATATGAAGGATTAAGTAGGGTAAACTCGATGGCAAGATGGCCGTGTGTACGAAAAAGATGGCCGCACAGCACTGTAATTTCTCCGATAATTCCCGAACAGCGCGGGATCTTTCTCGTAGTCCGTTCTCAAAGGTGATTGATACTCACGATTTATCGCGCTTTACACTATTTGGAGCAACAATATCGTGAGTATTCTATCACGGCCATCTTGCCCGAGTTTGCCTTACACGCGTAAGCGTAGGTTCCGCGATTCGTCCTCTGCGACCGATCTCTCGTTCCGCCCCGACGAATATTTTTCCGGCCTGCTCCGGCCCGCTTTTTTCGCCGGAAATGCGGACGCTGTTTCTCTCGCTGTTTTTTTGTTGTCATTTTTTACTGGCAGTCTCCCAACGGTTGGCTTTAAATATTTTCGCACCGACCTCGCAACATTTGTATCGCGAGCGAGTGTTGCGCGCACGACGCAGCGTCTCTCTCTCTCTCTCTCTCTCTCTCTCTCTCTCTGTCGCTGGCAAAAATTCCGATCGAATCTCACGGGACTTTGTTTGCGTCCCGCTCCTCTCTCCTCCCTCTCTCTGTCGGACGAGTGCGTCGTTCCGCGATTCGTCATCGCGTCGCATCCGCGTAACACGAGCGGAGCCGGCGAAGAAGCGCGGCCGCGAGCGAAAAATCCGCAGCTGTGTGCGATATCGGCTGGGTGTACACATTCGGCGGAGTGGAGAGGAGAAGAAAGAAAGAAGGTAGCGAGACAGACGGAACGGGGGAGAGAGAACGCAGGCGGGCCTGGGAACGATGTTATCGGCATGATGAAGAGGCCAGACGTAGCTTAAGAATAATTGGAAGTTATGATTGCCTTTCCCGTGCACCTGCGATCCGCGCGCTGCAGCAATCCGACGTTTCGCGTTCGCGTATCAGCTGACGATCGCTCCTTCCGCGATCCCCGGCTCGTCTCGGCCGGCCGATGGCATTACAATAAGCGGGGGTCAACCCTGGGCGCG